ACAATGAACAGAGGAGCATGAGGCCTGCAACCAATAAATGCTGTCAGTAGTCATTATTCACCTTACTCTCAGGAATACTTTAGGGATGAACCATGGTTTAGAGTTATATTGAGAGCTGCAACATACTGCCATGGAGACATTGCTCATATTTGTCTAGAATTATCCACAGCCCAGGGTTTAAACCAACACTGTCACTTATTTAATAATCATTGCCAAATTCCAGAAAATATTACTTACAGTTCATCATGATGTGATTCAAATCTGCCGTGGCTCTCGGGATGACAAATTGTGACAGCAGCTGATGAAGAAAATATATCCAAACAATCTTCTTTCCACCCTCCTGTTAGCCTCGATTAATGGTCAATATTACGCTAAACGCAGTTACAGCTAAGCAATGTATTAATCAGCGGAAAGCACGGAGCCGAAGGCAGTTGTGTTATTGTCTTATTGATGTCTATTTCTCTATTCTCAGTCCAATCTTCATTTGTCTGTTTGCGAAATGTTATGATTTTTAATCCACAATGACATCCAGAGAAACACACTGTCACAGACACCCAGTTAATTACCCATGTGAGAGCAAAAAGTATGTAAGAATGACTCTTTTTATTTCTTCGAGTCAGTGTTTTGCTCTCTATTTCACTGAGTAAAACAGCCATATTCTACCATTCTGGCATCTTTTACTTCCTTAAACTCTTCTTCAAGTACAATAAAGCAAACGGGGGATGAAAAAAAAGCAGGAGAATAAAACTGAAGAAGAAAAGCGGAAGCGGCTGAAAGATGACAACGCAAAACAAATTAATCACCTAAAGGAGTGGAAAGAGGAGGAAAGGGGCATGTAAACAGTGAGGAAATAAAGAAGGGGGGGAAGAAGGTGACGTGATTTCCAGAGCAAAGGAGTTATTAATGCTTGTTGTCTTTGAAGTGAGCAATTACCTGTGGAGTGTGTGCTGAATCACTGCTGTACACTGACAGAGTGTAACAGAAGGGATTCAGTGTGCAGCACTTTGCTTAAAATTGGATCTACATTTATAGCCAGAGCAGATGGAGATACTGGGTCATCTGGTTTGTCTAAATACTTGTATCCGCATGAACAGCGTGTACATGTGTTGCTTCAGCATGCTTCCAGACTGTTATGGATTGCGGCCAGGTAGAGAAGCATGGGACTCAGACAGAACCAAGGTCAAATAAAGTCAGCCAATACAAATGAGAAGAAGAGAGCAGAGTTAAGTGACTAAACATGCAGGTTATTCAAGGGTGTCTCATAGGTGGTACAATACTAAAAGCTTACCAATATCTCTGATGTTGTTGCAAAGAAAACATCCAATATGTGTCCTCGTGCAACTCTTCAATTACTTTCAGTACTGCTGCTTCTCTGTGTGTCTTTCACACCCCCATTTCACAGGGAAAAAGTCTGAATGAAATTCAGCTTTAACTTCATTTGAATGAGGAGAGATCATTAGGAAAAATTAAACGTAATTAATCAGTGTATTTGGAGATTAGACTCCGGTAGGAGATGAGTTGCACAAAGCACAGTCTGAAAGGGAGAATGACAGAGAGCATAGATTTAAACCCTGCAGCGTAGATGCTGATTGGTTCAAAGCAGGCACGCAAGAAGATGATTGGAGCAGAGTATTGAGCTAGACAGCGTGGGTAGCGGTAGTAATATGAAGAACAGACTAGCAGCTGAAAAGCGATTACAGATCTTAATTGCTGAACTTCCGCATAAGCTTCATTAGAAAGCTGTTTTTGTGTGGCTAAACAAAAGGCCATAAAAAGATCAGATGAATTTCTTTGTTGATTTAAGCCTTTAGTTCCCATTTACTCCTGTATAGAGTAGAATAGAAATATATAGAGTGATTTTATAAGCTTTGTTTTGCTTTGTTTTTTAAAGCCATCTATTAGAACTGCTTTATTTTTAGAGCTATAACCAAGTATAAACACAACTTTTAGCTGCCTTGTCTAATAAAATTAAATATTCACACATTTTGCTTTCATCAAAGATTATTTTGGAAGTTTATACACCGTTTGGAGGTTATAAAAACGTTTTAAATGGATGCAGTGGATTGTCAGGTTGACCTGGCTCTCAAAGAATGTTTGAGACATTTTAACAAGGCACACATCCTTCATCTCCCCACTGGCAGCACAGCTGGCCTGGCACACAAACAGACCTTCTCATTCCTGGGTATTAACAAACACACATTCAGGCAAAGGTTTTCTGACTGCCCTGCAAGCCTGCTTTTGTGCATGTGTGTATATATACTTAGCTTCGGTGTATGTTCATTTACCACTGTTAAGTAGACAGGTTATATAGCCTTTTGAGAAACTAAAAATGCTTTGCATGTCCCCATACCTGCTGTCCTACGTACTAAAAATAAGTGTTCTGTTATAAGTACCCCCAGGCCTTTTGAAGTGTTTGCCAGTAAACAATCCCTTTAAGAAGCTGCAGAATGGTGGTCCTAATATGGAACTGTTCCACTCAGTGTTGATCTAGAGACCAGAAGTGCTGAGCAGTATGTTGACTATCAGGGATTACTTGTCTCCTACTAAATTAAACTTCACAGATCAACAAAACACTATTCTGCTTTGTTTTCTTACTCATGTTTGCAACAAACTGCAAGTGTGCAAGTGTGTCAAGTGAATATGTTTATTATTAAACAAAAATGTCAACTTTTATCAAAGAAATTATTAAAAATGCGCGAGTAGTCTTGTGTTACAGAAGTGCTAAAGCAAAAAAATACACTGTTTGTACATCCACTGCAGTCCTAAGTTGCATGTGAGAATGTAGATGCCCACTGCAGTATTATCAGAGTTTAAATAGTCTTCACCCTCCAAACTCCTTACTGCAGAGTGTGTGTGCCATTTCATTTTTGCTGATGTGAGAACTGTGCTGGAGAAGTGTAAGTGTCTTATTTTGCTGCATATGTGTCACATTCACATGTTTCACATCATCAAACAAATGTTAATGTTAGACAAAGATGATAAGATGATAATGCAAAATGCAGTTTTTAAATGAGAATTTTTTTATTAAGATCTCAGTAAACAATATTGTAGTAAACACACCACAGACCAGTTGACAATTCAATGCTTTTCAGCATGATTGTGGATGCAGCTCAGGTGTGTCCACCTCCCCTGCAGCGCCACAGACCACGTGCTGCCGCATATATATTATATGAGAATCTAATGAAATTCAAGAACAGATGAGAGACAAAATTATTGACATCTATGAGTCTGGGAAGGGTTATAAAGCTATTTGTATGGTTTTAGGTCTTCGGTGAACCATGACGAGAGCTGTTATCCACAAATGGAGAAAATCTGGAACACTGGTAAATCTTCCCACAAGTGGCCGGCCTACAAAAATTACTCCAAGAGCTCATCAATGACTCATGTAGGGGGTCCCAAAAGAACCCAGAACAATATCTGAAGAACTGCAGGCCTCAGTTACCTCAGTTGAGGTCAGTGATCATGATTCAACAATTAGTAATAGACTGGGAAAAAATGACATCCATGGCAGATTTCCAAGGAAAACACCACTGCTGACCAAAAATAACAATGCACAAGAGTTTGGAGAAAATATTCTGTTGACCAATGAGGCAAAAGTTCAACTTTTTGGAAGGTTTGAGTGCCATCACTGATGTAAAACTAATATAGCATTTTATAAAAAGATGATCATACCAGTAGCAAAGCATGGTGATGGGAGTGTGATGGTCTGGGCCTGGATTACTTGCTATTGATAGAACCATGAAATCTGCTCTCTACCAGAAATTCATGGTTCAAGTATTTTAACACACTGGATACAATTTTAATGTAAGAATCGTGCTTAAAGTCAAGATGGAGCAGCTTTACTTGTGGTTGGGATTCTTGCAGAATTTGCAAGACAGTGTTAGAAGAGAGCCCATCTTGAGTCGAGGTTATGTGTTTAGAGCTGAACTGCTGCAGGTTCTTGCCATTCACCAACCTGTAGAATATATTGGCATGCTTGCTTTTTATGGACAAATGCAGAATCATCTGATTATATACTAAATACACAGCTGACAACACAAACCGCTTGTTAATTCTCTTGAATTCTTAGATTGCAGCTTGTTTTTCTTCTTTGATGCTCTCTGCACCCAATGTTTCATTGCTGATTGGTTAAAAATAGAAGATCCATTCAGTCATCTGTTTGTGAAAGGACCTGCCCTTTGTCAAATAGTTTCCAAAGACAATTTCTGACACGGTTCTTGTAACAAGCAATCAAATATGACAGATTAATCGTTGCATGAACATCAGCCAAATGTAATGGCAATGATTTATGGGGAGTACAAAGCACAAATGTTAAGGTGCTGATACTTAAACCCATACTGTGAGGACATAGTATAAAACTCCAAATGAGCTCTGGTTACTTCTCTTGTGCTGTTGTATCCTAAATTGATGCAATCCAGGTGTTGAGTGGCAAACTGTTTGCAAAACTTTGTGAAACCCCACGCTCTGCTTGCAAGATGTATGTAACATCTTCCAAGGACTAATAACAAAACAGTGCTTCACCACTGAAGCAGATGTTGGAAGTGGACCAAAGTTATTTTGGAACAAGCCTGTAAAGATTTATGGTAAATCTAGAAGGTTCTTTCTTCCTTGAGTAGCACAACAGAAAAAAGAAAGAGACAGACAGGCTGGCACACTGGTGTTTGCATTGGTGGGCGAGTGCATGACTTCACAAGCTCTCTCTTACTCAGAGTACTCTCTATCAGGCCAGTTAGCAGCACATCTTGGGGGTAAGTCCACTGCTTCAAGACGGAATCAGTGCAGGGTTGGAGCCCTCCCACACATGTCTGTGTGTGTGTGTGCATACTGCTAAACCAGACAAAGCCTTGTAGCTCCTTCGAGAATCAGTTTTACATTGCTTGCAGTCTCTCTCTCTGTGTCTCTCTCTTCACACTTTCAGTACAGTCTAGCTGAGTGGGTGAAAAGCAAGGAGTTCATGAGAGAGAAAAGGAGAGAGAGAGAGAGGGGGAAGGTGAGAGAGAGAGAGAGAGAGAGCAAGCGCAGCCACTCATTCGTCCCTCACTCCAGGCTCTAAGTTTACAGGCAGCCAGGCAGATTTTCTTGGCTTGGATGCAGCGCTCATGACAGGATTAGGAGCCTGGGATACAGGATCAACCGGAGATCTGCAGGTTCTAGTGGATGAGCCCAGGTCAGATTCTCACCCTGCACAGGTAGGAAAAAAAATAGTGCATCAGACCTTTATATATAAAAGTTTGCAACCTTGGGATTGTTCAAAGTGTATTTCTTTAACAAAATCTGATTCTCCAAGTGTTAACAAAAGGCCACAGTGAACCAGTTAAATCATAAAGTAAAGGGTGCAAAGTTGCAGAGTATGTAGCAATAAAATGTACCAAAGTGTTGACTTTTAATTTTAACAGACATATATTACTTCCCCTTTGTTTTAACCCCTTTGTTCTTTAGAAATTACAGGGAGTTTAAAGGCGTGCACTAACAATGAATGAAAAAACTCTGTCAGTTTTCATTACTTACTAAAGGATTGATAGTAAGAGAGTCAAAGACAAGTTTTGGCAAATGCAGAAGCAAAATTGAAATTCTGGATTGAGTGTCAGACACTAACTCAATAACAACTCATCACAAATGTGAAGCTTTGAAAGGGCAGAAATGAGCAACACACAAGTGTGTAGAACATGCAAAATGCAATTAAAACTCATAAACAGGGAGGAGATTAGAAAATCTTTTAAAAAATAATTTCAGCAAAGCTCTCTCTTGTTTCTTGCTCTGTATTTGTTGATTTGTTGAATTGCTGAAGTAAGCATTCTTTCCACTATGAAATTTTTAGCTGGAAGTGCTGAAGAGGTGCCAAGTTTATTTTAAAATGTGCGTGTGGGCGGATGGGGATCATTGTCGCCAGAGATTAATTTTGAAATCTCTGCAAAAGCAGCAAAAGAGAAAAAAAAAAAAAAAAACAGGAATGAAACATCCAAGTTCTTGTTTCAGATGCTTCCTTCTTATGTTATGTAACTGGCTGGTGGTCCCGCTCACACTGCTGCGACAGATTGAGCCGAGCACCACTTCTGCCAGGGAGAGAGGTGAATTTCTTTTCTTGGACCCTCTTTGCACTGTAAGGAAGAAATTATAGATAGCCACGTCCTTAGAACTCTGTTGTGTGCTACTTCATGTTCATTGAATGCAGCCGGTTCTCTATCTCGTTGAAAATGAAGAAGGACTGCAAGAGAGTTCAAGGAAATGGCAAAAAACATTCACATTTTCAAAAAGCTTGATGTTAGAATATTCTAAAGGATCCACACACTGCTGCACAGATTGTGCTGTTTTCTCGCAGGTTGCTTATATTTGATTATATTTGCGCATGTCCTTGCAGCAATATGCACACACAGATTTACGTGCCCTCTTTTAACTGAAATTCCAAACGTATGCTTGGGAAGTGGGAGCAGTGTGTGGTTTCACCCTGAAATTCTTCAGGGAGAAAAGGAGAGAAGAGAAACTTGGTAAAGTTGCAGGTTTACTCTGATTACAAAGTGCATTGGTGCCTTTTAGTAAAACTTCCTTCTTCTCAGTCTTGTTGCAGTTACATTTAAATAGAGCACGCTGGGGTAAGAACACGAGTGGGAGAACTCTGTTTGTCTTTACCGCTCAGATGTGTCTGGCACCAAACCAAAGCTGGGTGGTGGGGAAGGCATTGTGCATGCGTTTGAACTCTGTTAAACATCTTGTGTCAGCTTTTGAACTCCCTTTTAAAAAAAAGTAGACACTGAAGGTTGAGGACATACTATGTTATCAAACACCGCAAAATATTGTATAATAATAAGATAAAGCACCTCCCCTGCTCTTTGTTTTTTAGGATGGGTGGTGGTGGTAGGGTAATGACTCCATAATCTTTACTTAAAGCTGGCCATTTTTCCCGTACAGGAGTTGCACAGATGCAGCTGGACTCTGGCCACTCTCAAAGGTGACCAACTGCTGATTTTGGACATGCTTTTGCACGTGTTTGGATTTCAAAGTGTTCTAGAAAGCTGTTTCTCGTGGGTCTTGCAGGGGGAAGACACAAAGACAGGCAAAATGGCTCGTTTCTGTCAGAAAAGTCCTTCTGCAGTTTGCTTTTGTGAGCGGGGGCACCTCTGACCCTCTCCGAAACACTCAAGCGTTCACTTTCTGTCTCCAAACATTTCTTTCACAGCACTCTCAGTTTTCCTCCACTGCAGAAATGAACTTGTATGGTTTCAATTAGGCTCTCAGGGACGTGTGAGGGTTCTCTCTTGAATGCTTTCTACATGCGCAGCATGTCTGTCTCTGTTACTGTCTCATCCTCTCCTTTAGCATTAAGGGATTATTATTATTAGACTTCCCTCCCACTTCTGTTTTCTATACATTCCCACTGTCTGCACTTTTATTCTTTCCCTGTCTTCATCTCTCTCTGTTTGGAGTAGCTTGTCGGTAGGTCTGTTAAACAGTTGCACTTGGGCATGCAGGAGAGTTAACCCAAAGGAAACAAAGCAAGGTCAAAGCAAGGGAGGCTTTCCAGTGTATTAAAGAAGAAAAGTCACCTATCACATATAAGCTCACTCCTTGTCTATGCTCTCCGATTTTCTGTCTTTTTTTCTTCTCTTATTAACTGCCTGACTTACCAATTGATGGCTTCCGTGTGCATGCGACTTGGATGGAATTTTTACATTTTGTATTAGTAGCTAAGCAGGAAAACCTCATTCTTGTTTTTACAGCCTCCCCTTCTTGTTCTCACTTCTCTCTCTAACACAGTGGCCCTTGTGTTTCTGAACTGTTTCCCCTGGCGGTCTGAACTCTTTCCATACCAAGTGGCCTGTCCACTGTTACCACCAAGATCCTCTGTGGTCGACCAGTGCAGGTAGCCACTGTGCAGTCTCAAGGCTTTGCTGGCGATATACTGTTACACTAATCACTACAATTTTCAGGGTTTATTTTTTATTTTATTTATTTTTTTGCTTTTTAGGTACGCCCTGCTTCATCATCAGTCTGGAAGTCATTGCCGTGGTTTTGACTTGTCTTTTCATCATTTGTAAACCAGCAACAGCGCTCTATCCTGATTATGTAATATCCCTGCAGTCATCGAGAGGTCACCGGTGGTCTGTGCTTTGACCCACAGATATAATCTGACTAGATCTATTACACGGGCACCCTTTGCTGTTGCAGTTTTCCCCCAGCTAGCCAGGGTTTTAACCAAAAGGCTTTCTTCTTTGTTCTTGGCTTAACAAAAACAGTGACACTTAAAACCAAACAAAAAATATCTCCTCTTTGCCAGCAGGAATTTCCCTTTTGCTGATGTCACTTTTTTTGGTAACTTAAATTTTGCCTTTGGGACTTGCACTTTCTTCCTGCGGTTTCTATTTAGTCTGAAACATCTTTTGCATCTGGTTTTCGAATAAACGAGCAGCCACCATCTGTATTTGTCCAAACTGCAGTCAGTGCCTCTTCCTGATGTAGGTGGTATGCGATGGTTTTAGAGGCCAACCTGTCTGCTCTGGTCTACTGAGCCCAAATGGCCCATTTGAGCCCACACAGACAATTCAAGAAACATGCACAGACACTCAAAGACAGAGCATGCTCAGGCATATGTCTGCGGGTGTCTGTTGTATGCATACTTTGCTATCTGCTTTATTATCCAGTACTGACAGCCCTAAATTATGTGTATATTTTGTGCAGTGTGGGTACTACTGTACATATAGTCAATGAATCACTTGTATCTTTTCGTTTTTTGCACAATATCCATTTTTATTGCAATGCTGTAAACTTTTATTACGTTACTATTACACTACTAGAGATTCCTTGAGAGTAATCATACAAATATTCGCATATGAACACAAATCCCTAATACCTTATTTTGTCTGGATACAGAAGATGTTGCATTTAAAGATAAACTCACAAGACACTCAATTTGCTAGTATCCTTTAGTCGTTGGACGCACTTCAACTCTTCATGGCATTAATTCAACAAGGTGCTGAAAACATTCTGCAGAGATTTTGGTCCATGTTGACATGTTAGTAACACACAGTTTTTGCAGATTTGTCAGCTGAATACCTGTTATTCAAATCTTCCACCGCATCCCAATGGTACTCTATTGGATTGAGACCTGATAACTGTGTCAGACCATCTGAGTACAGTGAACCCAATGTCATGGTCAACAAACCAGTTCGAGATTAAATGAACACATAGTACATTTTTTGAGTTACTGTTAACTTCCTATAAGAGTGATAGTTCTCCTCTGAAATCAACAAGGCACTTTTTCTGCCACTTATTGCATATTTTCCCTGTTTTTCGGGCCATTTTCTGTAAACTCTAGAGAAGATTGTGTGGGAATATTCATAAATCAGCACTTTCTGACATGCTCAGACCAGCCTGTCTGGCGCTAACAAGCATGCCACGTTCAAAGCCACTTAAATCTCCTTTTTTCCCCATTCTCATCCATGGTTTGAATGTCGGCAGGCCAGCTAGACCATGTCTAAATGCCTAAATGCATTCAATTCCTCCTGTGTGATTGGCTGGTTAGTAATTTGTGTTAAAAAGCCACACAACATGTGTACCTGACAAAGTGATTGGTCAGTGTAGCATAATTGGTAAAAACCATCCTGGAGAGCACTTCACAGAAAAATGTAAGAGAGATTACTGTAGAAATGGATGACATTTTCGGCCTTAATCCCTGTCCAAAAAATCAAGCTACTTTTAATTGGTGCTTAGTTGGGGTCAGTATACACTCAGCTTGGGTCTGGAGATCTTTCACTTATTGCTTTATTATAACACGTTACTTTGGTAGGTGCTTGAAGGCATTTGATGCTGTGTTCTCAACAGACCAGAGCTGTCTCTGGGCAGGGTCCAGTTTGCACTTCACTGTCACTTTGTTGTTGTTATGTGAAATATTTTATGATTCATATGTGCAAATGTCCACACCCTCTGACAACATCTCATGCGTGAACTAAAATTGGGCAATTGTTGCAATGCAAATTAAAATCCAATTTGATTTTGATCATATGCTTTTTGTATATAATCAGAGAATGCTTAAAAACTGAGACTACAACAAAAGTAATCTCACTGTTTGATTAGTAACTCTAATTCCAATACTGAAGGTAGGAATGGTTGTGCGTTCACGGCATTACAGATGTATGAATGTAATATGAATGTTATAATCTGTTAATTTTTTATGTGTTACACCGAGCGCTGCTCATAAAATGACATAAGGTAAAAAATAATAGGACTTTGGATACGGCACATTAAAGCTGGTTCAGCAGGGAGACAATATATTCAGTTAGATCAACACTCCCTGCAAACTGTCCCCAAAACATATTCCTCAGACTTGGGTATTTATTCAGCGGTTTGTTTTCATTTGTGTCGACAACTTAAAGCTCTTTTGCTCATCTAAAGACTGCATGCATCAATTGTCTTATTAAAAAGTTATTGGTTTCTTTGAAAAATAAATTCCTCACAACTGAGCCAGAAATGCAAAAAAGTAATTAGCAACAAGAAAAAAGAAAAAACCTCAAAGAACATGCTGTATCTTTATCGTTGTAAAGTAACCCGGAGACAATTAAATGTCACTCTTGCTAGCAGGCAGGACTTTTGCTGAACTTGTGGATACAACTGTGTTCCAGACTGGGCACAGACATGACACTATCCACACAAAAATTATGAACAAAAAAATGAACTATGATTAAGGTCTCTGAGGCAAAAGAGAGGACTCGAATTCTTTGCAGAGGTTTATTTTCACGTAGTCAAAACGCAGGGACACGTTGCTACCACATTTTACGTCTAGACCAAACTCTATTCTTGTTCAGGACAGATGTTATAGTGGCAGGAAAACAGTCTGTGTGATATTTAGAGACGCCCCTGAGGATAAATGGGCCTTCTGTAGATGTTCTAAGATGGAGGGAGATAGTTTTTTTTTTTTCTTTTTCTTTGACCACTTTGGGTTGGCATACACTGACCAGTGGTAGCTGGAGTGGGAAATAATACCAGAGTGGAAGGACTAAACTAGTCTGCTGTGGCCATGGGGCTAACCAAAGGGACGGGTTTAGCCTGAGTGGGTTTATTATGGTCACAGCTGGAATGTGTGCTGGATAATGTAGAGTGACTATGCCAATAGTTGTCTAGAAGCTTGATAACCAGATAAACTAGATAAAAAGAGAGATAGACCAGCACCACAGTTACATATATAAATGGGTAGGTATACATCACAAGTGGGTTTGACCCCCTTTTCTTCATGGCATAGATTCAAAAGCTTCTGGAAATATTCTTTATAGATTTTGGTCCATATTGACATGATAGCATCTGCAATTCCTGCAGATTTGTTAACTTCACATCTGTTATGCAAATCTTCCATTCCACCACAGCCCAAAGGTGCTCTATTGTGACATGGCTTGTTATCCTGGTCAAAGTATCCATCACAAGATCAGTACACTGTGGACATAAAGGGCTAGACATGTTCAGCAACAATACTTAGGCTGTGGTGTTTGAATCATTCTCAGTATTTTATGGGGCTCAAATATTTTCACCAAGAAAATATCTTCCACACCATTACCCCACCAGCAGCCTGAACTATTGATTCACGGCAAGGTGGATCCATGCTTTCATGTTTTTTATGCCAAATTTTAACTCAGCCAACAATGTCACAGCAGAAATTGATACTCATGAGACAAGCCAACATTTTTCCAATCATCTGTTGTCTAATTTTGAGCGAGTGAGTGTGAACTGTAGCCTCAGTTTTCTGTTCTTAGTGGACATGAACGGCACCCAGTGTGATCTTCTGCTGCTGTAGGATGTTTGCTTCTGGGTTCAGTGATGCCCTTCTGCATAGCTTGGTTGTAAGCAGAGGTCATTTATATAATATAATACAATTATTATTATTATTATGCCAGTTTAAATGGCTTAAACTGAAAGCACTTACGTTGGCAAATACTTAAATAGTGATACACAGGGGATGTGTCTGGATCTCCTCAACAAGTCTCTCTGTGCTTTCAACCTGAGTCTAATCTAGTCTGGACTTTATACGTGGCACAAGTCTCTCATTGTGTTAAAACATGCCACTCATCAGCTTCATAAACATTTACCACAGGATCTATAACATGTTCTCTTGCTTGCACACTGGCACATAAATACATAGAAAGAAGAAAGACAGGCACAGTTAGGCAGATAATGTTAGGTAGTGACTTAGAAGACCAATTCATTAAGTTCTTCTTGGGTTTGGAGAGACAGCTCGCTGGAAGGGAATTGCTCCATATAATGGCTTCAGTGAAAGAAACTGAAGGTTTATGTTTGCTTCATTTGATTAGAGATCATTTGTAGATGGACAGAAGATTTCTCAGTGAAGTGCAAAGTATTTCCCCAGATACATTCTCAGCTGTTTTTGCTTGTAGCTAGCTACATGCCCTGTCTGTTCTTCACAATGGAACGACACCATCTGCATTGACAGGCTTGTTCCACTGTATGAGTCTGAAAGACGGTAAGAGAGCTGCGGTTTGGTACAGTTGGCCTTAGTCAGCACACATGTGTGTCTGTATGTGTGCGCGGGGTGCACGTTGGCAGACCTGTCGGCCTCCCCCTCTTTTTTTCTTTTTGGCTCTGATAACACAAGGGATTCATGACTCATATATTTTGGCATGAAATGTGCACACCCATACACATGCGCATATTAACATAGCCAGCAGGCTGTGAGAACAACCAACTGTAGAGTAAAAAAAAGACAATTACCATCATTATTAGGCAATAAATAATAATATTTACAGTCTTGACATATTCATATTTGCACCTGATGACAATGTTGGAGTTTGACAGTGCAAATGGCAAGAACAGCAGACCAAGAAACAGACATACAGGCTCTATGTGGTTTTAAAAGAAATGGTTTATTTGGGAAATTTGGTAGGCTGCTGTAAATATGAAGCTACAATCAGCCTTGTTTGCTTAGCAAAATGACTGGAAACCAGTAGAAACAGCTTGCCTGCATGTGCCCTGATATTTAAAAAAACAAAACTGCTTACATTACCTTTTAAGTTCACTAATTAACACGCCACATTTTGGTGGTTTGACCTATATAGTAAATGGTGTGTGAACAAACCGCAAACTTGTGGCTTTACATGGCTTTTTATGTGCAGTACTACATCCAGGCCAGGTTTCTGTGGTTCTGGATGATCTTCACTAGTTGTCTGGGAACCTGACAGATAATGAAACATATATTGTATTGTCAAACTGTCCAACTAACACGTACATGTGGCAGATATTTATACACATAACACACTTGTTACTGTATCGAGCACTCTTGGTGTTTTTAGATAAAGGAAAATAGCTCTAAACACATGAAACTACATGATTTCAAATGCAATACACACACACCCCGACCCTCTACTTTATAACACAAACAATTCCTATATTATAAGGAGAAAAACTGTGTTTAGAAGATCTTGAACATTCAGCTTTGTTTGGCTGGAGGCAGAAAATAAAGAAAACTGAAAGAAAAAATAAAAGAAAACTGTTATGAACACACATCAACCTCGAGAAATGTCTTTTCGTTTTTTCTCAAAAACCCCTTTTCCACCCCCACACCCCATTTCTGCCCACTCCACAATCACTCAGCTTTCCCACTAATTCTTTCAACATGTTCAGCATTACTGCTTTAGTTGTTGCCAGATATTGACAGATTGCCAGATGTTGACAGATATGCTGTAATAAAGCAGATACTCTTTATCTGTGTCAACTTCTCCTTTATGTTGCACATAAATGCACACAATAATGTGATGTCAAACACTGACATTTTCATGTTTTCTATTCTATAAAAGCATTCAATGCAAAGTGCTCATGAAGATTAAAAAAAAAAGTGTGATACTCAGCAAATGGGTTCAGGTAATCCTCAAATTCCTGGTATAAAGAGTACTGAGGAAAACCTGCATATGGACCAGGAGAACATCCAAACTCCACACAGTAAGGCCCAAGATGCAGGTTCTTATTAAGGACTCTCTTGCAAATCTTTTAGGATTTTGTGAGAAGTTTCCACTGAAGACCTTTGAAAATTCATTTTCTTCTCTCCCTCTCTTCCTCTGTTTGTGCCACCAGCAGTGACTGACCTGTATCCCTTCCTCATCCAACTTCCGAAATTGACCTGATTGCCAGGCTCCATCCTCTCCTCTCCTGTCATGCATCTCCTTGTTTCCCTCCTGCTCTTGCTACTCCTTGGATCAGCAGAACCCCGGAGAGGCCCTCGGTCAAAGGCTGTGGAGAGGGGCGCACGGGGCCATGTACGGGGTAGAGGCAGGCCCGGCGTCATGAGGCGTCAAACTGAGGTGTGCTTGGAATACATGGAGTCAGGAGAAAAATACCTTGACTGCCAGGATAGGCAGCTGACCACTGTGATGCAGGACTGGCCCAAAGATATCCACCACCTACTGCTGGCGAGAAATAGGATTCAGGTATTTACAGGCAGATTTCTGTTCACCTGGTGCAAAAATAACAACTGATGTTAATTACAGCGGACTGGAGATCTTTTTTTTTTGCAAGAAATTGGGTTCTTTGCAGCAATTAAGCCTGAGTTAAGTATCCATAATCTATTACTCTCTATGCTTCAGATGGCTTGTTGATGCCATGAGCATCTGTGCACCAGTTATTTGGGAGCAAGATCAAAGACAGACTTTTCTTCCTTATGTGTGCAGCTTTTTGCATGTCTGAGCAAGTACAGGATGTTTATGTCGCAGGTGCTGAGAGAACTGAAACAAAATGTTAGCCTGCAGGTTAATAAGTGGAAATGACTGAGCAATAGACACTGATGAAAGCAATGAAAACAGGTATAACTTATGCGGGAAGTCTTCGGCACTTTGTTTTGGATTTAAATAGGATATATTTTATCATTTAAAACATCTTTAACATGTATTTTTTACACTAAAAATATGTAATTTGAAAAGTTAGATACTTGGAATTACAGATAGAGAAAACTGATCCATGCTGTGTCTTTCACCACTTGCAGCACTTTGGGTTTACTGTTGCTGTTCAGAAATGGTAATCTTAACATAGTGCACCACTGTATTTTCCAAATGTCTGACATCTGGCTCCAGCAATATGGGAATTTTAAACTTCAGGCTCTGAAACAGTTGCCTATACATCAGTGGGTAATGCCACAGTAGTTATGGCCATTTTTTATATAGAATCTGTGGTATAACATGGGGTCAAATGGCCGTAGGAGGCTAAATTCCTACAAGCTGCAAACTGCAGACGATTGAAGTTTTTTAGTACAGTAAAGATAAGAATAATGCACAAGTAAGCTGATGGTAAATGCTACCATATTGTCCAGAAATGCAAATAAAACAACTCAAGTACATCTCTCCTTTCAGGTTTTGAGGGACAACATGTTTGCTCAGTTCACCCAGCTGAAGAGCTTGGATCTCCAGCAGAACCGCATCTCCAGGGTGGAGGATGATGCGTTCAGTGGCCTCTCCCAGCTCAAAACCCTGCTCCTCCAGCACAACCAAATGACAACAGCCTCCGAGGAGGTCCTGCTCCCCCTACCCCGCCTTACTTATCTCCGTCTCTATGACAACCCGTGGAGCTGCCTGTGTCCCTTGGAAAGCTTGATCAGAAAACTGCAGCTGCCAGGCAACCGCAACTTGGGCAATTACGCCATATGTGCAGAGCCTCTTTCACTGAAGGGTCAGAAACTAAAAAAGTTGACTGTAGACCTGCTGTGTGAGGAAGACAAGGGGCCAGAACCTGGAGTTGTAGAACGGCCAAAGCCTCCGCCAAAAATAAGGAAGCCAGATGCCACCTCCATGTGCCTCACGTACATGTTTCCCAAACCGCTGCTGGACTGCAGCAACAAAGGTGAGAGATTGTCAAGTTCTGTCTCTCTATATCTTTATCTATACATTGTGACCTATTCTTTAAATCTGTGTCTTCTTGCCTTGAAATCTGAGGCAAGAAGACACAACTTGGATGCCATTATAATATAAGTTGACGTATGCAGGTCTTGGTTGGGGCAGCAGAGGTTACCTATTAGCAGCATTGCTATGAGGATGCTGGTTTGTCCAGATGTTTTAGAAGGACTGGTGTGAAGGTTTGTGCAGAAAAACTTGGACTAAAAGCACCTTATTAAAAAACTCATTTACAGAATTTGTTATGTTCAAATGTTTTTTTATTAACTGTGAAATGGGGGAGGGGGGGGGGGGATATTTTTTTTGGACGGTGAGCATTATGTACTGGATGGGGAAGTTGTGGTTAGTAAGACCACACAAAAATCATCTTACATCCAAGCTTTATTCTTGGAAATGTGGTGAAAATAAGAAAATATTACCATGTACTAAACTGAGCTGGTGAAACATAGTAATCTTTATACTACATGTTTGTTTGCCTGTTAGAAAAGTTGCATTTCAAATTAACTACAAAGTACTTTATAAGACTAATTAGATGCTGAGTAGCCCAACTTTACATTTACGCCATAAACGCAACACAAAGAAGAAGCCATGTGGGGAGTAGGATGTGATTATTTTCTTATCACTGACAAAGTATCTCGAGGACTTCACTGAAAGAAAAGCCAGGGTGCAGTACATAGAAAATTATGGCATTTAACAGTTGTTTTCACTAACCTGTCAATCCGATTTAATTAATTTTCTCTAATTGAAGGAATGTTGTTCTGGAATGTGACTTTGACCTCGTGTATCATCCTAGCTTTAGTATATTGATATAACTTTTAGTCAAAGTTAAAAAGACATTATAGAAAAACACAGATGTTTATTATTAGTGCAATAACAGAAAAATGATCAGCTTTAATTAAACTAAATGTAGGAATGAAATAAACTCTGACAAAGAACAATTTCATTGTTTCTGAATCAGACAGTATTTGTCCAATTTCAGGTGCTTTGCTAAACTTGGCCGCTTCTTTGTTGCAAACAGATAAACTGCTGTGAGAGGAGTACTTCATATGAAAAGGCACATTTATTAGCTTTGCTCAGCGCTCTTCGGGACACAGTCCTGCTTATTTGTTCATTGAAATTAGGCGCAAGAGTTTTTTTTGTTGAATTATGTTTGGATTATAATCAGGCGGCAAGCAGAGACGTGTTTGTTTTATTAGCAATTTCTACACTGGCTGTCTGAGCCTGGCTGGGCGCTCTCTTCTCCTTTTTCAAACTCTTGCTCAGTAGTGGAAAAGTTAGGATTAAAAAGTAAGGTTTCATATATATCATACATGTACAGGTTTTTGTGTGAAGGCAGATGTCTTTATCTGATCAGCCAGTATTTTAGGCTTGTTCTTGTTATTACCCATCATGTAATGTGACATTTGATGAGTTAAACTTTTGCAGTACTATGAAAAAGTATTTGCCCCTTCCTGACTTCTTCTTCGTTTCTTTTCTTTTTTCTTTTTGTGTGAATTTTATAGGATTTTTCACATCATCAAATAAATATTAATATTAGACAGACCACCTGAATAAAAGAAAAAAAAATTGCAATGAAGCCAATGAGTCTTTGACATCGCTGTAGAGGAATTTTGGCCCACTCGTTTTTGCAGAATTGTTTTAATTCAGCCACATTGGAGGGTTTTTGAGGCTTTGCAGCGTTTAACATGTGGGTCATGCTAAAGGTTTCTTTGTTTTTCTGAGCCACCTTTTCTGACCCCAAAACAAAATGAACATTTTGGATTGGCCGAGTCAAAGTGCAAACTTAAAGGCATTTGAGATGCTGTTGCATGACCTTCAACAGAATTCCTCCACAGCGATGTGAAAGACTCACTGCCAGTCATTGCAAACACTTGATTGACAAGGACTTGTGCTTACCAGTTTTTAGGTTTAGGGGCAATTACTTTATCACAGCACTACACGTGCGCTCTAAACTTTGCAAATATAGTCCAAGTTCTCACCCAGGTTTTCACATCTGGTTCTATCTTTGCATTAAGCTGTCACTATGAGACTGTTGTCATAGTGACCCCAGTGTTGCCTTCAAAAAGACAGATGGCAATTTCTGAATTTGTGCAGATCCCTTGTGGTTACTTTCATGTGGCCTCTCCAGTTCCTCTTCTATCTTCTTTTTGTTGTCCTCTCACCATCCATTTAATTTAACACACTGTTTAACACACACTGAAACTCTGACACTTTCTGCGTCCATTATTCTGACCAAGTCCCACATGAGGATTTGAATACATCTATCAATGGCGAGCTTGTATCCTCCTGAGAAAGCAGTCTTTCATAGAGAATCGACAAGCCAAAACCACACAATGCAGCTTCTGTGTTGTAAGGACTTGAAGAAGCTTTTGCATATTTTCCTAATTATTTTTTTTCTACAGTAAGACATTTGAATATGTTCTTTATCTGAAGCATCATAAGGTTTCTCTGTTTTGCTCACAGGGTGAACATCCCATCCATCTCTCCACAACTTTCCTTTTTTATGCCCAGTAATGGTTCTCCCCATCCTGCCTCTTTCTAAACCACACCGCACCATAAAAGCTGTATGTGTTGTGTGAATATTCCTTAATATGGTGCAGCTGTTGTGCATGACAGTTAATTCCTGGTTTTGTGCTTTTGATTTGAAAGGATGCCCACGCTGCATATTTACTTCTCATTTTGTTCTTTTCCAGCACTTGTGTTTTCATTTAATAGTTGTATTAGCCGTGTGAAATCTAATCTAAGCATTACACTTACATGATTTCCCCCTAATCGTTTGTCTATTTGACAATCTAAGTGCTTAGAGTTTTCTTTGCTGTAATTCAGCCCAAATGAACTACTGTTGTAGTGTCTTGATGCATGAAACTAGCACTACTGAGGTCAGTTTCTTGACTATTAATATGGAAATTGTCATGACCAACAACAACCACTGATCAGAGACCACTGATCAATGGCCATTCACACAGGGTTGTGGAATTGCTGCAATCATAACATTGTAAGATGCTGTGATTCCTTCAATTCAGAGATGGTCTTTCCCTTTTTCAGTAAACGGCCTCCTTGATTTCTTCAACTAACCTGTAGGTGTGAATAGAGTGCGGAGTCTTGGTCTGATGAGTTAGCTCTTTTGTGTTTTGCCATGCACTTCACCAGAGGTTGTGGGGTTTTCCCCGTTACTCTGTGGGGGACCAGATCCTTGGGGTGGACCAATTTTTGGCACAGAGTATTTTGGTGTTTGAAAGCCACAGGGACACAGTGTCTCTGTGGCTTAAATACTAACAAATCTTAAATACTGATCTGTATGCATTGGTTTATGTTACACATCAACTTTTGAATCTTACAGTCTAAGAAGGCTAACTTGATATTTTGGTTAACTTGATGTGTTGGTCCACTGAGTTAATGTGACCAGTGAACCGTGGTATATCGTCAGATTTGATTTTCACCCAGGTGTCATCCACATACCTGAACCAATGATTTGGTGGTGTTCCAGGGTAGGACAGCAGAGCCCTCTTTTCCACTTCTTCCATGAACAAGTTGGCCACAGTGGGTGAAACTGGGAAACTGTTGTTTGCCCATGTTTTGGGCTGACCAGTTTTTGTAAAAAATGTGGAAAGAAGACAGTTCCAAAAGCAAACACACTTGGTCAGTGCTGAGAGTGCTCCTGTTGTTGAAGTTGAGGTCATTCTGTAATTTCTTACGAGCTGCGTCCACTGCTTCAGTAATGAAAGATGTAATAACATCCCTTTGTCAACAAAATCTAATGTCTTTTGGATGTGGTGTTTAGAGCTGCCTACCAACGTGTTGAGAATTGAAGCCAGAAACTTTGAGATGTTATAGGTGAAGATGATGGGGAAGGCATACTGTAATAAAAGGATAGAGTACAAATAGCACAATGTATCTCCAACTGCCACATCTGTAAGAAAAATAAACATACAACACCTGGAACACAAACTTTTGAAAATGCACAGGTGCATAAATCAACAATATACCTGTGTGTGTGTGAGTGTGTGTGAATGAGTGTGAGAGAGAGAAAGAGAGAGAGAGTGTGAGTGTGTATGTGTGTAGGTGTGTGTGTGTGCGTGTGTAGGTGTGTGTGTGTGTGAGTGTGAGTGTGAGAGAGAAAGAGAGTGTCGAGTGTGAGTGTGTGTGTATGTGTATGGGTCTTTGTCACGAATGTACTTGAAAATGATGGTTAGAAGCCACAAAAACGAAGCCCGGGAGCCAGAAGCAGACAGAGATGGATCGGGGAAAACCGGGCCACCCGCAGCCCCCAAGAGTACTGAAGACCTAAGGCCAAACATCTTCACCCAGCAGGAGAAGGAGGGATAAGTAGACACCCCCCTCAGATTATACAGAGCACTGTGATTATATTGGTTTTAGGGCCATGGTGTGATGTTAATGCCCATTTATCTACAGTGTCTTAGTAAAGTCCTTGGCCACTGTAGCTCAGGTGGCAGAGCAGGTCAGCCACTAATCAGAAGGTCGGTGGTTCGATCCCAGGCTGCACCCTGGCTGCATGCCGAATATCCTTGGGCAAGATACTAACCCCGTGTTTGCCTACTGGTGGTGGTCAGAGGGCCCGGTGGCGCCTGTGTCCGGCAGCCTCGCCTCTGTCAGTGCGCCCCAGGGCAGCTGTGGCTACAATGTAGCTTGCTATCGCCAGTGTGTGAATGTGTGTGTGAATGGGTGGATGACTGAATGTAGTGTAAAGCGCTTTGGGGTCCTATGGACTAGAAAAGCGCTATACAAATGCAGGCCATTACCATATAAGAACAGTTTGAGTTCTTTATAGTTTGCTTCCAAGGACCCACACTATCTTTTAGTTGTTAAAGTACTCTTGAGCAATAGCTCTTCTGTGTTTTTCACAGGCTTTTAAGGTTTTCCTTTGGACATTGGCTGCTTTTTCGCTCATTTTTAGTCCAGTCTTGGTACATGACCATTTTCAGAATGTCTGTCAGGCTGAGTAGCCTGACAGACATTCTGAAAACTCATAAAAAAAGCACCCAACTTGATGGATGAACCAGTGTTGTGTCTACGCATAACAGAAACCTTAACTACACTAGAGTATATAAAATATTCTAGGAAGCCCCATCACTTCTGATATTGTAAGATGTTATACATAAGCCAGACGTGTTAAATGAGAGCAAAAATCTTCCATCTTTTAACAGTCCCCCCGCCCAACATTATAAATCTCATGATGATGCTCAGAAACCCAGTTTTATGTTCCTAGACATTGTTTTCAAAGCTGCTGTTACAGCCGGTAAATCATAGATTTCAGTGGTAACAAGTGCTGTGTAAAAACTTGGGACATTTGACATCTGAGTAGGCAGCACAAAAATGAGTCATTTGTATATGGTGACTTGGCTGCACATACACCCACACTCATAGCACTGTTATAGCTCTCTATGGATCTCGTGGATCACAGACAGCGGGCAGATCGTTAGCAGAAAAAAAAAAGACCATATTTTGTGGTTTCAAGGGTCCTGACTGCAATGTTAACTGTTTACCTTTTGGGAAACTTTTTTACTTTTTCACACTGGGGTGAAACGGTCACAGAAGCAATCAATGTAGCATGGGAGGAGCACTGAGTTGGTCACCGTCATAAATATAAAGTAAACAGAGTTACTAATAGGTTTTCCACTTAATAATAATCTCAACTCTGTTGCTAAGGGTTCTGAATAGACTAAGATTCATTGCACTGCATATCTGTGTTTCTTTCTCTGCCATGAAAGCATTTACATTTACAATTTAACAAGTAAGGTGCATTTGACCTCACATGACATGTGGAACCGAGAAAGGCCCATCCTAATATATAAACTACTTTATTGCATCCTAGTGCTACTATGCAACACATAATACTGCCTAACATAAACATGTGAAGTAACCTTTTCCCCCGTAAAAAGTGGGGCGTGCTTCCAAAAAAGCCATAAATGGCTGCTTACTATTCACTATGCACAGTGGACCCCCTGTAATCACATCAGCACTGTAAAAAATTAATGGCTTCACTTTCTGCTGTCTAAACAGTATAAAAAGGTTTTGCAACACGTGCTCTGAGTGAGTTCAGTGTTTTTGCACAAATTGAATATTTGCTTTGCAGGAATGACTGAAGCGCTTCATGATATTTTATGGAATCTGAAGCCAAGAAAGAAAAGACTCTGGCTACAGTCCGGTACTTCACTCCACATATCTATTTAAATCATCCTTAGTGCTAGCACATAAATAGTAGAGTGGGTTACACAGATAAATTTCCAGATTGATGCTCTGCACTCCTACTAAATAATGTAAATAGCTTCGTTCTTTGTATTGAGACTGTGTAAATACTGCATTTACTCCCTGTGTTCCTGTGTTTAACTAGTATTAGTTGTACTAATACAGGAACCTCTATGCACTGCATTGGTGAGTGGCCACGTATATTAGTGCTAAAAAGTTATTTAAAGTTGGCCTGTTGAAGTGAACCAGGTGATTCAACTTAGACTACAAATAATAGATTATGACATCTGTGAGAATTTAAAAATATATATATATTTATAATGGATTTTTTTTAAATAGATTGGGTTTCCAAAAAGGAAACGTTTTCTCATGCAGCTATAAAGCATGAAGTCCTTTTTAAAAAAAAGAAAAGTCCAAGAGGTACAGCTGTTCACCGAACTAATGACTTCAGCAGATTCAGCGAGAGCCCAGTGCAGTGATAAATGACTTTCACACTTCCTGACCCAGGTCCTTCCTCCGTATCTTCCTTCATTCATCTGTAGATACATGTTAACAGATGTTAAAGCAGGAAAGTGCTTAACACTTTATCTGCCATATCTGTGCCATGAAAAAAGTGACTCCTGATAAAAGCTTCCTGATAAAACACCGTAGCTCAGCTTTTTGTTGAACTTTTACTACCCAGAGGGAAACATGGACTTCTGGTCACAGACACTACTGTCACAGCTGAATACACAGTGTAGGCGTAGGTCTTTATTTATGGTAAAACACCGAAGACCACAGAGGTATCTGTCTTTGCAATGGAGGATTTGCGTTTGGCTCGGAAAACTGAAGTCCGATTTCTCACAAGGGAATCAGGAAGTTTAAGTCTAATGTTGGAATGACCGCATTTCCCTTTCCTAAAAAGCTGCTTTGACAACATTTCAGACACATTTACACCTATTGGCAGGCTGGGATTCCCTTTAGGTTTTCCAGAAGAAAATTTCTCGCCACATTGGACTGATAACATGTGCTGGAATGCTCTCTGAAGACAATTTTTGCTTCCCTGCATCACATCACAAAACAATAATCATTACACTTCCTGAGTCTGTTGGCTACATCTGTGTGTGTGCTGCATGTGTGTGTGTTTTCTTGGAGTCTGTGATGATTAATGGCACCATGCCTGCATAATAAAACCAGCTATAACATCTGTGGCAGTAAAGAATACAACATCTGCGCTATAAAAGCATACTTCTGATGCAGCCTGTGTAAATAAATACATTCAGGAAACATCTTTGTATGCTTTGCCACACACATTTCATTCATGATTTTACTTACAAATCTACAAAAAGTTGGCATTCAATACCAAAGCAAAGCATTGTTTAATTATGTCTTAGGCCGCGCTTGCTGCCTATGCACACTTATGTTTCCTCCAGTCTATTTTGCTTCACAAACAATCAGCTATGATCCTTTTGATGATACAGGTTGCATGGGCCACCTAGTCTGTTTTAAACAGCGCTACAATGTGATTGGCACGGCAGATGGGACTTCCAATTTAAAAGATATTCATGATGTTGCCCACCATGACAGGTTCAACAAATCTAATGACTCAAAAAACCACAAAGCCACAAAGTCTAATCTGTGAAGGCTTTGATCCAAAACCTCCAAAAGGTAAACTGTGATCAGAGAAACCTGAATCTATTCATTGTTAGTGCCGAACATACAGGTTTCAGCCTTTTATTTTCAGTGGTTTTGTAGTGACAGCGTCAAATCTTTATTTCACCTCCCCCATCACGGCAGGAGGAACATTTATAAAATCTACCTCCGGTGTGGGACTTTAATTCAAAACTCCAGAGAGGCTCTGTTATAGAGATTGCGATACGTAGGACGCTTTGACTGTTTAGTGCATTACTGACTTCAAAGACAAGTATGAGTGTGTGTGAGTGATGCTTCCAGTGTAAGCAGAAAAGAGATCCCTCTGGCAAATAAGTGAAATGTTGTCATACATGATGTCCCCTTTGACTACATCTTGAAAATGTAAAAAGTTGCACACAACCTGCAAACCATCTTGAAGCCATAAAGATGCAGACACATTTCTGTCTGAGTTGAAGAGCCGGAAATGTTCACACCCTCTGTTCACATATCTTTTTTTTGTGTGCACTGATGATAGTAAAAACTTTTGTCTTTCAGGTATCATGAAAGTTGAAGGCCTAATGTTTCTGAACTTTTTCTGTCTGCAGATTTGATTAGCATCCCACCTGACCTGCCATCTGACATAGTGAGGATGGATCTGTCCAACAATAAAATAAAACATCTCAAGCCAAAACATTTTGTGCTGTCCAAAGACCTCAAACTTCTCAACCTCAGCAGTAACAACCTGCACCATATAGACACAGGTAACAGAAGCACCGCTCACATATTCTCTCTCTCCCACACACACATGTGAATCTGAGCACTCGTATCTGGATATCCAAGTATTTTGTGTTGTCACAGCACAGAAAACAGACCCAACTGCACAACTCAGAGATAAGATAAATTACATTTTTAAGGGTGGTTCAATTCAATTGTATCTATATAGCAGCCAATCACAACAATCTCTTTAAGGTGTTTTCTGCCAGGGATTAATAATAAAAAATAATTAAATACAGAGTGGTGTATAAACAAAGAGATTTAAAAGTGGTGAGTGAAGAAGAAATGCTCAGTACATCATGGGAAGCCTCAGCCGTTTAGGCCTATTGCAGCTTTTCACAGGAGCTTTTGCAGGATTCGGGGTCACCTAACTACACTACCTGGCTTGGATTTAACTAAGCAAATAGGTACAAGCCTCATATTGGACAATTACTGCATGGGGGATTATCTTTCAGCTGGCAACAACTTATTTAACCCCAACTGGTGCAATGAGTTCTTTCTCATTTCATAAACAACCGCGTCGAAAGACACATCTCATGATCGTGAAAAAGATGTTAGTGTGTTTGAGAAGGGTTAAATCATTGGCACCAATCAAGCTGAGAAAACATCTAAGGAGATTGCAGAAACTACTAAAACTGGGTTAAGAACTGTCTAGTGCATTATTAAAAAGTGGAAGGATACCCATCATCAGAAAAAAAAAGTAGAACTCAGAGCTAGGTTTAATAGTAAACATGCACAAAGCGAAGGGAACTCAAGGGAAAACCACTAATCAGTTTGGCAAACCAGGAAAAAAGGCTTCAATTGACTAGGGAGCATAACGATTGGACTCTGGAGCAATGGAAGAAGGTCATGTGGTCTGATGAGTCTAGATTTACCTTGTTTCAGAGTGATGGGCGCATCAGGATTCGAAGCGAGGCAGATGAAGTGATGTACCCATCGTGCCTAGTGCCTACTGTACAAGCCTGTGGGGAACGTGCTATGATCTGGGGTTGGTCAGGTCTAGGTTCAGCAACAGTATGTGCTCCAAGAAGGAGGTCTGACTATAGTGAATGACAAGGTTATTCCATCAATAGGTTTTTTCTTCCCTGATGGCATGGACATGTTCCAAGATGACAATGCCAGGAAACATCATTTTCACACATGGATTAGCCACCACAGAGTCCAGACCTTAACCCCATTGAGAGTCTTTGGGATGTGCTGGAGAAGGCTTTGCGCAGCGGTCAGTCTCTACCATCAGTGCAAGTTCTAGGTGAAAAATTAATGCACTGGATTGAAATAAATCTTGTGTCATTGCAGAAGCTTACCGAAACAATGCCACAGCGAATGTGTGCCGTAATCAAAGCTAAAGGCGGTCCAATGATTTTACCATACCTATGATATCATATAGATGCTTCTAGCTCTTGAGAAAGTGTTTTTTAATCAACAATATAAATCAAAGGTTTGAACTTTTACTTCTGCTATTTGCCAGGCAGACGTACTTGTGATAGGCTGCATTCACTATCGATAACTTGATAGCATTCTTAGCAATATTTTGAGTTCTGCATCAAAAGATTTTTTTAAATAACTCAAACAATATTTGTAGGCTTTTCCTAAAATAAGATTCAAAAAGCTTTTCCCTCTAACTTGCATTTACTATGCATCATTAATGACTAAGACCATGCAATTTCATATTTTAGTTACAATAAGCCAAGAAAAACAATAATTATACTTGACTACATTTTTGTAATGATAACAAGCAGAAATTCTGGCTACTCCTTGAGGGCAGGGGCAGGACAACCATCCTCTTTGCCTACAGAATCTCCCACAGTTCTCTATTCAGGAATGTCTTATAATGTCCCACTAGAGGATTAAACTCCTTGAACACATTGCGATATTTCACTTTTTTCCCTCAAGAAATACTGCACAATTATTATTATTTTTATTTAAAATTTATTGAGATGAACCTGAGAAAGAAGCACATGTTCCACTCACAGGGAAAACAGATATCTGTGATTTATTAGAAAGATGTTGTTTATCACCTCATCTCTAAGCCTCACTGGCTTGTGCTCAGGGTTCATTTTGAGGACATCCAAGTCAATCAAAATGTGACATATTTAAAATTGTGAACAGGTTCATGGTACACACTGGGGAAAATGTGGCTAGAAATTGCAGTGCAAGCAAAATGATTGAATATGCAATGAACTTGCAATCTCATTACCTTTGAAATGGCTGTTTTGAAGACAGGGACCAGGTCTGTGACCACTCGCAGTTAGCTGTTATCTTCAAAGCAAGTCAAGCAAGTCAAGGCAGCAATAAAATGGCAATAAGACGGAAAAAGTCTGCTGCCAGTTTCTGATTAAATTTAATCAAGTTGCCATTTACATATAATAGTTGCTGCAGGACAGCAATTTAACTGCAAAATGACATAGCTGCTTGTCAACCTTGACCTATAATGGCTATCAATACACTGATGGTTGTTGCACGCTCAACCACTGGGCAACCAACCACTACAACTACTCGCAACTGGCCTCAAGAGGCAAAAAATTGCAATGTAGTTTACTTAACTGCATTGTGACTGATTTATTAGAGAGTTCCCAAATCCTTTCCTTCCTTCAGAGGCACATAAATGCTTCTTTCCTTGTTTATTTCAGCAGTTCCCAAAATAATGTAAAATTACCCTATAGTTCATGAGAAAAAAACCAATTTTTATGGAAATATGTAACATTGGACATTGACATGGACTAGATGAGAAAGTATTCGGAATACAAATTCGACCTCAGAAATAGAGGAGTACCATTAAAAAGTGAGAATTCATTAATCTCACCGAGCTAATTATGTGCGAGTCCATCCCTTTTCTGGCAAAGAGGGAAATTCAAAAAGCTTCATTATCCTGCAACAGCACATGCAAACAATCTACTGTAGCTCACCCCACTGTGTCTAACATTCTCTGGAAACTCAAACAGAAATTCAGTATAATTGTGAGAGCTTGTGATTGCCAGTGGCATGTGGTTTAAATCCCCAAACCCTCTTTTTAATCATGTCCACATTCAGAGTATATTCAAAAGAAAAAGTTGTTTATTTATGCTTTTCATGGGAAAGGTGGCCAGAGAGAAAAGAAACATGAATGAAAATGCAACATAAAAAAATCTGGCACATTGCATCAGTGTTCTCTTATTTGTGTTACTTTTTTCATGGAAGTCTTTGGCAGATTGTTTTGGTTTTCTAGGCCAGGCAAAACCCCAGAATAGACAAAGCAGTAATTTGATGGTCACAGGATAATGCAGTGCACTTAAAGCCTAATTTTCCTAATTTTCCTCAGACTAATAACTTTATATCTTAGAAAATGTATAAGGAAAGGGTCCCACCCAAGGTTAAATAAATAAATAAATAAATAAAAGTTCATAATAGTCTTTAACTAAGTCAGTTTATCCAGCTGGCATTATTTCTGTGTTATTGCAAGTGAAGTTTCAGTGACCGGATCGCGACTCTAAGTTTAGATGCTTAGATTAGGATCTCTTGAAGAGCATGGAAGAAAAGGTAAGTGTCCCTAATAAACAGTTTAGCCTTTAGGAAATGTGCTTCAGACTTTCTGGCAAAGTTGGATGAAAGGATTCATGTATTTCAGTTCCTGGGAAAGTAGCATGAATGTGGTCATTGTGGCTCCAACAAGCACATGAATAGTATCCAATTTGGGAGAGCCTCAAGCCTCATGAGTCCAGAGATAAGACATGGGAGGAGGAGGTGAAACGAGCATCCCTGCCCCCTTTATTACACTTCCTTCCTCTGCTATAGTTTCCTCTGTCTGTGTTGTTCTTGGAGATGAATGTTCATAAAGCTAATGTAGACACTGAAAGAACCTCAACACCCAACCAAACCAAAAAAAAACTTTTTCAGTCTTCCTTTTCAAGTTCCCAATGTCATGAATTCCCTCCTTCTTAGTTCTCTACCTCCATACGTTCCTCCCCCCCTTTCCGCTCTGTAAAGATCAAAGCCTGGCCAAAGGCTGGGGAGCGTGAAATGGTCTTTGCTGTCCCATTACTCCCACTGAGAATGCATCCATGGGCACGCACGTGCACACATTAGAAAATCAGACAGCTAACAGTGACTGGAAACATTTGAGAATATCAGCAGTCACCTTTTAAATCAAAATGTTTGATTTTGCGTGTCATGAAGCCCAGCTGAAACCCAGTGTCTATACAGGGAAACTGGCCTCGGCAGCTTGCACATCTGGAAAAGCACCGTCAATACTGAAAGGTTTTAGAGCAACGTATGCTCCTATTCAGATGGCATCTTTTTCAGGTCTTGCATATTTTAAGTAAGACAAGGCTAAACTTCATACGTCATGAATGGAATCAGCCTTTCACCAATTGAAAAAATTTGGCACAGCATGAAACCAAAAATGTGACCTAGAAGACCCAGGTATGTTGATAAGCTAGAAAAAAAGCTAGAAAAAAAAGTTTGCGTTGTTTTGCAACTTTTATGGAACTGGGTTATAAAAAGACTTGATTACTTGATTATTCTTAAAGATAATCAATCAGTCAACAATGAACTAAAACGGTCCAAAAGCCAAAAAATATGTCAAAGACTGTGAGAAACTATGGTAGAGTTTAAACTGTGGCAATTTCTTTGTGTGTATTTTTCTTCCTTTTTAGTCATTTTATTCTCTGTTGAGTCTTAAATTGCTCTTTAAACCTCATGAATGCCAACAGAATGCTAACTAATTTAGTTTGCACTTTTCCCTGCTCCCAGCTGCATTTGCAGGCCTGCTGTACCTCCGTGAGCTTGACCTCTCCAACAACAGTCTCCAATACTTCCAGTACAGTGTACTAGAGGACCTCTACTTCCTACGGAAGCTCTCACTGGACAACAACCCGTGGTTCTGCGACTACAACATCCACTACCTAAATTACTGGCTCAAGCACCATCCTGGCGTCCATCACACTGGCTTGATCTGCTCAGGGCCGCCTGAGTTCAAGGGCTGGCGTGTCGCGGATTACGTCAAGACCTACAACGGGGAATGTCCTGTAGATAAACAAACAGAAGGGACAGATACAGGACAGGGGGCACAAGAACAGTCAGAAAATGACGCACAGAAGCCAGGGATGGACAATAGTGATGGACAGGGTGCAAATCTTCCACAACACCTGAAAAAGGCGGCACCAAACAAATTTAAAATCATCAGGCTGAGCTAAAATGCAGACGGCTCAGAGGACTGGTAGAAACGTATACAATAAGATTGAAATGGATGTCTGAGAACAAGCTGAACGATGGCTTAATAAAAGGAGGAACTCTGTTTTGTGGTAAAATCCATTACGTAGGCTATTAGGGATAAAGCTTCCCTGTTCTGTATGGGTTGCAGAAATACCTAACTCTATCACTTTTCTCTCTTACAGTAATTTTAATTTTGACTTCAGGATATACTTTTTTTTTCTTCTAAAAAGTAGTTTTTGGTCTTTTGGTATTAACGTATGCTTTTGTCTACTTGTTTTCAGGAAATAAAATTTGTTGTTTTTTGTATTGTTTTTTTCTGAAAATGTGTTTTACTATGTGATCGAAAATTTCCAGATACATTGCAGGTAATGTGTCAAGGATCACAAATGATTATTGCTAAAGTGTTCCATATTCCATATCATTAGCTGCTTATGGTGGGGGGGGGGGGGGGGGGTGCTGGAGCCCATTTCAGGCACAGGCACAGAGAAGGGTATCTAAACACCACATAGAAACTCCCAACACGATAAGAAGGTTCTTGCTGTTTACTGATCGCCACCGGAGACTCCCAAGCAATGAAAAATTATCCATACAATGTAATACTGATCAATTTAAAAGGTACCCAAGAAGCTTAAATTTATAATGTTTTTTTTTTCTTAAATACATAACATAATGAGTCCCAAGACGAACCTAATACAATTTAATGTTCGTTTTTTTTTTTCAAGGACAAGGCACATTAATCACCATTAGTATAAATGTGCTATTTTTTGCCAAATGGCTCATTTTGAGTTGCTGTTCCTGGGCCAGATGTTAAATTATCCATTAAAGGGCTGTAAAACATAAAAGAACACAATTAAAGGCCATTAGAAAATAGAGGAAGGAAAAAATAAAACAGGGTCAAAACTTGAGAGAATGGAGCAGGTAGCATGGAAACAATGCTGTGCAATAGTCTAGGAAAATGGGAAATGTGTGTTTGCTGAAGTCTAGCAAGCTTTAAAGTCAGTATTTGGTGTGACCACTGTTATTCTTCAACACACCCTGAACTCTTATAGGAAAAATTCTTGAATTCATAATTCCATCAATTTAGGCAAGATCTCCTATACCACTGAAATGCAGCCCCAAACCATCACAGAGCCTCCAGAGTGTTTTATAGATGGCTGTAGACACCCCTTTCCTTAATTTCTCTGTGTATAGTGATTATTTCAGGCAGAAATTACAAATTTGGATTTATCCCTCCATAAGATCTGTTTCCAGTGAACTTCAGTTCAGTGCTTGTGTAATTTGGCATACCTCAGCTTTTTCTTCCCGTTTCCCTTTCCTAAGAAAGGATTCTTGACAGTCATCCTTCCACCTAGACTATGTGAACTGAGGCTTCAGTGAAAAGCAGATGGATCAACTGAAGGTCCAGATCCATCTCTCAGGTCCCTTGTTAGGTCTTTACTGGACTGGACTTTATTTCTTAAAGGCATGGCTGTCAGATACTGTTCATCTGTTGTGGATAGTTTTATACACCTACCACTTCTTTTCTCCTCCAGTTGTCTAATTTCATGGTTTTTGGCTTTGGGAATCACCTTATTATTGCAAAATTACAATTTTATGACTGTTGATCTGTGTTATTGTTGGATTTTTTTTCCTGGATTCACCCAAAGAAATGGGAACAAATGTGTTTGTGATAAAGCCAGCTAGTAACAAAATGAAGTAAAGATATATAATTTAAAAAGTTGTTCTTTGCTAAGTTGTCTGTTGCACATAGACACAACACTGGTTTGCCCTTAAACCTAGATGCCTTTTTAAGCTTGAATGATTCATAGGTCTGTGTTAAATAGTTTGACATAAAAAACAAACAAACACTTTTCTGGTGAGAAACAAGGACTGGATTGAAAATGAGTGAAAAAGTACCACTTTAAAATATGGCTTTTAAAAGTCTGGTTCCTTTGAGACAAAATATAAGGAATTGATGAGTGGCTCAAGACTTTTGCGCAGTACTGTGTATAACATAAAAAGGAGTCTGGAACAAACAGCAGAGTCAGTTAAACCATAATGACATAACAGCCCTTTACATTACAGATGACAAAGATTAAGCTAACTAATCAGACAAAACTGACTAAAAGGAAAGGAAGTGAGCACCGATGATGGCAATCTAACTGCTTTTAAACCAGACTGCGTGCAAAGAAATGATAATCCAAGCAATAATTCATTCTTAAAGAATAACTCACAGACTGGATCAAGGAGAAAAAAAATACAAAACTCACATGTATTTATAATTTGTTGCTTGTCAGATGCAGCACAATGTTACTGATAAGGGACCAGGCTACACCTGGATGGTCTTTTTAAGCACTGGATAACCAAAACAACAAACACTGATGATCAGCATAGCATTTGTTACATTGCTTCAAGGCTGGTGTTTCAGTGAGGTCTGCCAACTTTGCATCCTGGTTTTGACCCTGTCAGCTATGTTTAGAGGAAGTAGTCTTGGCGTGGTTCTGCCTTTAGGCTAATGAGACTTTTTCCTGCCTCCTGGTTTTCATATAAACTTGGTTAATTGTTTTTAGTGCCCTGACAGATGTTCCAAATAACCTTAGTCTTTAAGTCAATAAACAATCAGCCTACCTCATGCACAATGTGTAACAGCACAGTGCCATCTTGTGTTAACTCATAAGGAAGGCACCCATTCAGTACTCATCAGCCCAGCCCTTCTCAGGAAAGTTCCCCTATAATCGGCTGGGAACTTAAAAGCAAGTATGAATTACTGTATGAACTGTGAACTATATTAATTTCTGGTGAATGTGGCCTTCTTAGTCTCAGGATCCCCCTCATTAACACACTAAAAATAAGGACATATGTTGGAAAAAAAACCCCAACCTTCAGAAAATTTCACAAGTGCAGACCATGGTGCATTAAAGGCAGTTTCATTTTGTTCACAAGCATTAAAGCACAACAAAGTGCAACCTCTCACAGACATTTTTAAGCATGTAAGATATCATTATCCGTGTATCTTTTGTATCTTAGAAAAAAACAAGCGCTTAAAAATGACATTATTCACAGTGATTTGGCTCATAGCAGACCCCCCTCTGGACTTTTTCAAACACACTGCAGCAGCAGAGGATCACAGCTCATTACAGAGACAACACAAGAGGTCACTTGGGTGAAATACTCAGTCCTCTGAAAGCATTTAGTAACAACATCTAATTGTCTTTCACTGGCTTTTCAAAAGCTCTATAAAGGCACAAAGAAAAAACTTCAACAAAAAAAAAAGAAAGTAAGAAAGAAAATTGGGACTTTTTTGTGTTTAACTGATTGCACATTTGTTCCCAGTAGGTGTGATTGTAACTTGTAAAAACAGCCATAATAGCGCTTCAGTTTATAAATGAATTGCTGGATTCATTTTAAGTAGCCTCATGACATCTTGTGGAAATAAAATGGTATTAAATGGGAGACAAAAGCAGTCCAAGTAATGCTTGACATGAATGAGAAACGTTTACTGGAACTTTCCCACAACACTGATTACTCCCATCACCACTCTGTTATTCTCTAAATGAAAAGACTGGTCAACTATTTTTCAGGTCAGGTAAGTCACAAAAAAAGTACACTGGTTGTTTTCTTGCTTGTTTTTTTAAGGCAATTATTTTCTGATAATTGCCTGAATCCCCTCGATGCATATATTGTTGAATGTTCTTGAGCCTGTGCTCGCCCTTATTCCCACAGTGATGTATCTCCTTCAGTTCTTCAGCTCCATCTTTCTCTTGCTGCCAACATCCAACGTCGGTCCCTTTTCTTGTCCTGTCTGCATTTGTATCAGCAACACGATTTTTTTTCTGGTGTGTGTGTGTTGGCACTTATGGTGCCATTGATTGGCCGAGAGTTGGCTCGCAGCAGAACTCGAGGCGTGTCCTTGCTCTCGGAGTCTTCAGGCTGCACGTTAAGGCCGTTACGAGACAGCAGCTCTCTGGCCATCAGCATGAAGGCTTCGTCCACATGCTGACTATCCTAGAAAAATATAAAAAAAGCTCTATATAACAAGTATCATCAGCATTAAATGGTCCCATCTATTTATTATATGCATGTATTACCTTTGCAGATGTTTCTAGTGCAGCCAAAATGCCTTTTTGTTTTGCCAGATTGCAGGCTTCTTGAAACTGAACCTCCCGTTCCTGCTCCAGGTCACATTTATTACCTAAATGGAGAGAATAAAGAAGCTAAGTGATGTACACACAGTGACACAGGTTCTGTTAATATTACCTTGCACCTAATTTACATAATAAAGTCAAACTCTACTCGTGTCCATACAGTACTGTGAGCAGTAACACATGTTAATTTTAAAATGTAGTAAGCAGCAGCAAGACTCCCAAGACACAAATCAAGCTTAATTGACTAAAGATAGGGCATTAAGTTAGAAAGAACAAAAACAGGTGGCTGGGTTGCAAAGTGGCTTGCAGATCGCAGGAACAGTTGAAAATGATACAATTGTATATTTTGCATAAGCAGGCCATGCTAACTACAATATTTCTTTATTTAGTTGAGCTTGGTATCATTTTCACTTAAAAACAAAAGTGCATTTCTTCAGTCAAAGCATCCTACTCACCAAGCAGCATTCACTTATTTACACAATGACTGATGCATCACACCAGTTTTGGGGGGGAATTGGGAAAGACATTCATGATTCAACCACTGAACATCTGTGTGAACAAGCCTTTCGAACTCCTTAGCCACATCACAGGAGAACGTTTTCACAGTAATCTGTGTAAAAACTGCCAGGAGAAGAGGCTTTTTCTCATTTAAAGGCTATTGTAATCAAATTCCCAGTATTCTTTAGGGCTAACAGCATACCAAGAAATCTTCATTTCCTTAATGCTTTCAGTCATTATCAGTCCTATCAGCACTCACCTATGAGGACGAGAACCACATTGGCTGCTCCATATAGCTCCACCTCTTCTATCCAGTGCTTCACCGAGTCAAAAGTTGAACGCCGTGTGATGTCATAGGCAATCACCGCGCCGTGAGCGCTGCGGTAGTAGCTCTGGGTGATCGTACGAAATCTTTCCTGACCTGCTGTGTCCCATACTTGCATCTGCAACAATAAATCATATTTAAGAAATTACAGGAGGATGGTATCATAGTAAAGTAAAGAGTATTATTACTATATCGAGACAATCATTTCTGGATTAAGGTTTTTGTTCTCAGTGCTCTCTATCAGTGAAGTACTTACTCCAAATAAAGATATCAGGATTTTGGAACATGAAAATTTCCACCTAGTGCAAGGCAGCTCAGTGGATACAGATGTTAATCTTTCAAAATGTGATATGGAGTGCCCCGCAACACGAGTGCTATCTGGACCACCCACCTACACACATAAATGCTCACACAGTTGAGCACTCATTAGTCTTCCCCTGAATAACAGTCCCCGAGGACCAGACAGACCTTGTTAGTGTGGTAACAACTGT